CCTCACTTTTCTGCGTAACTTCCTTCTTTTTCCACCTACTTTTTATAACATGGTACCACTTTTTCAATCCCATCAGGAGAGAGCTCTATTATCTAATTTCAGAGCCGACTGTTGAAAGATTTTATCACCTCTTCGTCACTATGGCGTCCAGAAAGATCTGATTTGAGTCGAGAGAGAAGATGAAGATCACATAGAGCCAAGACCAGAGAACAAGGTGGATAGGGAAAAATTTGCAAATTGAAAGTTTCTGACAAATCTTGAGGGACTCTTGCCTGGTAAAAGCACTCGTCATGTTGGAGCGGAACTCTTCCGCTCAGAAGCCTGGACCATTTCCTTCGGATCCAAGTTCTGAGCTTTCCAAGGATATTGAAGTAGTTTTCTATGTTTATGGTCTCACCATTTGTTAAATAGTCAATCAGTAACACCCCTTTTGCATCCCACTTGACAGTCTCTACAATTTAGCGATCTGATGATGCCACCTGCACAATGCTTCAGCAGTGGAAAAATCGGGCCCGCAGCAAGAGGAGATGGCTGCAAAAAAGTTGAATACCTCAGCAACCCGTGGATTCAATTTAAAAAACTATGGCTCATTTCAAAGCTGAGAGTAGATAAGACCGATTAAAGAATTTTACAGTTTTGCTCTATCTAAGATATTCGTGGAGAAAAACATCAGCAAAACTTACTTACTGGGAATCCTTGTATGAAGCAAAAAAAAAATCATTTAAATCAGAGATATAACTGCCAATTTTAAGGAGGAAAAAGTGGGTTACCTGCACTCCAAACAACAGCATGGTTCGGAGTTTTACTAGCTAGTCTTTCTGTATTAGAGCTCGTTGTTTCTAAAAGAGGTTTGTTGAGTCTATAGGGAGGAGGAAGTGCTTGCAACGTTCCTTCTAGACGGCCAATCACAGCTCTGCAAAATTTTTCAAGTAACAACAGTTCAAGTTTAGACAAAGGAAGTATTGAATAACATTTTCAAGTGATTATGTTTATTAGTTTTGCCTTCATGAATTGGAAAAGTCTGAGAGGTTTGGCAAAGTGGTGCCTACGCAAAAATGGTGCTGGTGATACTTCAGCTGAAAGGAGACGATCAATACTAACTGAAGCTTTCAATAACAGTGGTAACATTGTAGTGATAAAAGCTGAGTGGACTCTTGAACTCTACCAAATTCCACACGATATTTTTGAGAAAAGTAAGAGTATTTTTTATTCAAAATTTCTTGTACATTATATCGAATTGAGAATAAAATCCTCTGAAAAATTCAATGTGGAGATTCACTGATTCCTTAAAATTAGGTAGTCATTCTTTGCAGGAAAATGCCATGGGTGCAACAAGTGCAGACAAATGTTTGACGTTCAAGACCAAAAGTAAGCAAGGCTGACTATGTCGTCACAACTTAATGTGTTCATTTTGGTTGATAAGCTGCATAAGTTAGTAGTTTTGATGACAACCATTTCTTAGAACTATGTTGTTGCATATTGCACATTTTTTTAAAAAATTTATCGGCACTACACGAATTATTTTATTAACTTAAAACTTTTTTGAAAACCCATTATATAGCACTTACTTTCTTATTGTTCTCTACGCACTATGGCCATTTTGAGCGGACAGGCCGCCCATCTTCAGGTGACTGCATTGGTATGGAAAGGTTCAAAAATCCGGTGTGATAGCCACGCCGGCGCAGTTAATATTGCGGCTCTCGTCCTCTCGATCAGCTCATTTCTTATCAGATGTTTTCACTACATTCTTCTTGTATGAACTGAGTAAGATTGGCGGTGTTGTCAATTAGAGAGCTATGTGACAACATTAACAACACCGCCAATCTTACTCAGTTCATACAAGAAGAATGTAGTGAAAACATCTGATAATAATTAGCCGATCGAGAAGACGAGAGCTGCGATAATAACTGCTCCGGCGTGGCTATCACGCCGGATTTTTGAACCTTTCCATACCAATGCAGTCACCTGAGGATGGGCGGCCTGCCCGCTCGAAATGGCCATAGTGCGTAGAGAACAATAAGAAAGTAAGTGCTATATAATTGGTTTTCAAAAAAGTTTTAAGTTGATCAAATAATTCATTTTCTTAGAAGACTTTACTTTATTTGACTGGCCTTCAATGATCACAATAAATTATCATGACATCTCGGTCTCCTTTTCTATTCACTACGTTGCTTCAGCCCTTCAATACTTCAATGTCGTTTATTCTTTTAAGATTATTAATGGCCATTTGTCTTCTCTGGAATCGAGCTTGTTCAGTAATTTTTAATTCTTGCGTTTTAAAAAGTAGACAGTGCACTTAGTTCATGGAGATTTCCCCAGAATTTTTTTAATTTTTTTGAACAATAATAGAATTGATCTTTAGCTTTAGCGCAATGTATCGTAGAATGCAGGGGCTTTGCATGTTGTAATTAAAATAAATAAATTAATAAACTCAAGAGCTCTCATGATGAATTAAAAAAAGTATACCGGTATAAGTGTGAAGGACTGAATAAGCTGCCGATCACAATTCCTGTGAGATACACAGGCTTGATGAAATGGGAAAGAAGAGCACCTTGAAGTCCGACAGTATTCCACTTGGCAATTTTATCTGAACAAGACATGGTAAGCAAGCGCTCGCCCTGGGAAAAAAATGGCAATTTTTGAAACATGATTTTCTTTAGGAAAGAGACCGTGGTTCAAAGAGCAACACATTTTCCAAGGATGGAAATTGTTTTATACATAAGCTGTCACAAAATGAAGAGCCACAGAGTATGTAGTTCGGAAACTATATTAGATGTAAAAGTACAGTTTGAGGAAGGCTGGAGTCCCAATGGGCCTGTTGCAAACTTTTGCTAGAGCAAAAATAAGAGTTGTTTCCTATAGATAATGCCTCAAAAATAACGATGGGCGCATCGGCAAAGTCTGAAATGCATTCATAACTTCACAATCTGGGTAAGAAATTTGCGTTTTTTTGAGCTTCCCACTTCAAAAACGATACTATGGCACAGGTGAACATTTTGTTAGAGGAGTCGTTCCATCGTCGGCAATATTCATCATGGCCGACGCTTCCGCAGTTCCGCGCGTGATTCGAGGAGCGTTCAGGGTCAATCTAGGCGGGCGAGGAAAATATGAACGTAAACACGACGATTGTTATCTGGTCTAATCCTGTTCAGGTGTTATCTCGTCTCATCACACGTGTTTTGGCGAATTGGCGTCGGCCATGATGATATTGCCGACGATGGAATGACTCCTCTACCCAAATGTTCACCTGTGCCGTAGTATCGTTTTTGAAGCGGGAAGCTCAAAAAACCGCATATTTCTTACACAGATTGTGAAGTTATAAGTGCATTTCAGACTTCGCCAATGCGCTCATCGTGATTTTTGAAGCATTATCTATGAGAAACAAATCTTAGTTTTACTCTAGCAAAAGTTTGCAACAGGCCCATTTTTAGCTCTTAAATCAGCTTAAGATGAGCTCATTTAGCCAAAAATTCGCCAAGTTGCAGCAATTTTTCAGAGACATGTTTATAATACCCTAAAAGATTTTTGAAGGTTGCTCCAATAATAATGTCATCAAATTAATCTTAGGTACTTTGGAAAATACAATGATACACTGAATTAGAAAACTTAGTAAGCTGATCTTCCGAAAAAAATTTCAAATTTACATTCAGAGCTATGCGAATGAAACATTTTTTCACAAAGAAGAAGGTTGGAGGTTTAGTTTGGGTTAGAAAACTTTTTTCAGGATTTGGTTTTGGTTTAGTTCGGATAAAAAATTCAAGTGTGCATGGTCTTAAAAATGAAATACTCTGTTCATTTTTCTTTTCCTATCAGTATTAATAATGAACACTAATAGTCAGGTAATTAATCTTGAAAAATTTGATTAGGTTGGCAGCTCCTTTAGAAAGTTCATTTAAAATATTTTGAGCGCCTGTAGAAATTCTCCAAAGAGGACAAAAAAAGGCATCTTCTGTGATTGAAAAATAAGGAAACACCCTGTGTACGATTTTGACTGTATCATGTATATCTCTTGTATGTATCTATGGTTACGCATCAC